ACCCCAGGAGCGCCTAGACTGCCCCGCTGCCCGAGCCCCTCCGCAGCTTTGCTCTGCGTCTTCCTGGTCTGCAGACCAGGGAGACGCAGAGCAAAGCCCCAGAGTACACGGGCGGCAGGACCGCGAGGTCCCGCAGTCCGTGTACTCTGGGGCAGCCCCGTTCGTAACTGCGGATCCGACGTAAGTCGGATCTGCGTAAGTCGGGGACTGCCTGTACCCATTTAGTCCTTACTAAGCCTAAATTTCCAGTGACTTCAGAAAGGACTTGGGTCCTGTTATTATTAAATCAGCTAATACTGTGGTTACCAACCAGTCAATCGTGAGGTGTTCCCAGCCCCCTCTTGTTCCCCTTTCCCCCAATGAGGAACTACAACCTCCAGCAAAAATGGACTTAGCGCCGGTTTCCTTCAGGGTGGAGGCAAGGTCCCGTGGCTGCACGCTAGAGCCTCTCAGGAAGCACGTGCACTGCTCTTCCCCTCCCTACAACAGCAGGCGCTCTTCTTGAGAAGACAGATCAGGTGTGTAGCTGCAGGATTCTTCCCCTTCCCCTCCTCCCGCCATGCTGCAGGAAGGAAGAAAGGCAGCACAGGGAAGGAAGGGAAGACAACAAAGTGCGTGCCACCTCTGCCAACAACAGTGCACACTTTCTTGTCTTTCCTTCCTTACCTGTGCTGTGGGGAGATGGGGCAGGGGAGGGGAGCACATTAAGATGGTGGTGCAAGATCCGGAGTGGATTTGTCCAGCATTACCCAGAGATCCTCATCCTTGGAGACCCCCAGGTACTGGCCGAGCTGTCCGTGCCCCCTCCCCTCAACCCCCACCAGCACCTTGCCCCCTGTTCCCTGGCCAGACCCCCACTAGCACCCTGCTCCTGCCCCCATCCCTTCTGGCCAGACACCTACCCCCAGCTTGGTTCTGTACCTTACTCTCCACCCAGATTCTGCATCCCCATCCCTAGCCCAATCACTGGCAGCTTTATCCTGCCCACTCTATACCTCTTAGTTTTGCCCCCACCTCAGAGTGTAAAGGGGCCAAAAAATTCCACTAACCCTGGAACCGCAGAAGAGTTAATCTGGACTGAGGCCTTGAACCTCAGTCCTACTGGACTGAGGGCTAGAGTGCCAGGGAAGTGAGGTGTCTCAATTGGTGGCACATCAGTGAGGTTTGGGGGGGTTGGTTTTTTTGCATCTCACTTGTGTGGTTTTTCGGTGGGTCAATGGCCCCTACCCCTCCCATAAATAAATGCAATGCAGAAAAATTTTGTGTTGGATATTTTATTTAAAAATTAAACGTGGCCAACAAGCCCCCATCTGTCCACAGCCTCATAACACTCCTGCACTTCCCACAGACCTCAGCCCATCATGCACCTGAATCCCCTGCCCTGAGCTCCTCACATCCCCACACTCCTCCTGCACTCGCACATCCCCAGTGTTCTGCCACAACATTCCTGCACCACATACACACTGCAAATGTGTGTACTGAGCCCATCATACTCCCAATACCCCTGCCTTGAGCCCCTCATACACTCAATCCAAACTCCTGCACCCTCACATCCACAAGCCTGCAACTTGATCAGCACCCCAACATTCCACCTAACCCCAATACTCTCCAGCCTGGAGCCTACTCTCTGAGCTAGTGGCCCCTTCTCCACCTCCTCCTGCACCCAAATACCCTCCCAGAGCTTTCACACCTCTTGTTCCAACCTAGTGAGAGAGAGTAACGGCTTGAGTCAGCAAATGATGGAGAAGAGGGGAATGGGGAGGGCGGGCCTCAAGGAAGGGGTGAGATCTTGGGGAAGGTTCTTGAATTGCCCTGACTTTTAAAAAGGGATCTTGAGTGTAAAAAGGTTGGAGACCACTGAGTTAACACATAATCTGGACAAACTGCAACTGTGCAACACAAATAATGCAAAAGACCCTAAAATAGTCATTAAACCTCAAAATTGATTTGGAACAACATAACAGCTCATATCCATCAAGAGCTAAGTATGTCTTTGTTCAAGAGGATGAATAGTAAAGCCCTGTTTAAAGTATACTAGGCATAACAGGCCTGATACTATAAGATGCAGAAAATGCCAGTTTGAGCTTCATGGGCTTCAATACCTCTCAGAAAATGCCCTGAATCTGGCATCATGAGAATTGTAAGTGTGCATAAAGTGCTGGCTCTCTTGAATGAAGTATTCCCACTGCATAGGAGCCAAAATTTCCTTGTTGATGAACAGGGAGTTTGATGGGAAACTTCAGTAAGTGCTGAAAAAGGACACTATGTTCTATATGGAAAAAGTAGTATTAGTCCATTAATATAATCATATATTAGTGGGAATGCTCCAGTGTTACAAGGCTTGATTCTTTGTTGTCCTGCACCATGTATTTTCATTGATATCAGTGCTGCATGAGACAAAAGTGCATGTAAAATGCTATCAAATGAGAATGGCAGGGTTTTACACCCTCTCTGTGGTTTTATGAATGACTGCAAAAGATGCCTGAAGCCATGTTGCATATAGCTACTTACCTATAAAAGATGGACCACTTTCCCTTGTGTGGTGCCTAAAGAAAGCTACCTAAAGCCATAGGTAGGTACCTAAAGTAAAATGGTTTTCAGATGTGCTGAGCACCCAAATGTCCCAGTGAAGTAAATGATAATGTATAAAAAACAGTGCATAGTACTAAAGCAGTATTAAGGAAACATGAGAAAAATATGTCTGTGGTTTGTGTATTATCTAGTAGTAATAGAACCAAAATTGTCAGTGCAGTATTAACTCACTGTGTGTGTGTGTGTGTGTGTAACTAGTATATATACAAAACCACATTAGTACTCAGTTTGCAGGGCCG